ACTACCACCACTACTTCTGCTACTACTACTACTACTACTACCACTACTTCTGCTACTACTACTGCTACTACTACTACTACTACTACTACCACTACTTGTGCTATTACTACTACTACTACTACTACTACTACTACTACTACTACACCACAACCTTGACGGTTGGGTACTGGTCTTTGTGACCTGGACACTTTTGGGCCGTGATGGCCCTCCCGAAACAAAACTTCGAAATGAAGTTGTCGTGAGAAATCTTCCCCCATGCCCTTGTGCAGCAAACGGGTTTGGGGGGGCCTGTAGTCGTTTTGCTTTGATAGACCCTGCATCGTAGGTTCGTCCTAGCCAGGCGGGAGGGAAAAAAACTACTACTACTACTACTACTACTACCACTACTACTACTTCTGCTACTACTACTACTACTACTACTACTACTGCTACTACTACTGCCACTACTACCACTACTACCACTACTGCGACACGACTAGGACTACGGCTACGACTTCGACTTTACTTCTGCTTCTACTTCTACTACGACGTCTACAACAGATACAACTACGGCTACTGCTACCGCTAGCGTTGCCGCTGCTGCTCCTGCTCCTGCTGCTGCTATTGCCAGCGCTGCCAAGGTTTGCTGCTAAGGTAGTACTAATGCTGCCACGGCCACGACTACTGCTGAGACGACGGCCACCACCACCACCATCACTACCAGCATTGTTCGTAATTTTGTTGCATGCCTTGATGGCTTAAAGCTCCTCAAGGATCTAGGCCGGACCGAGCCCCAAAAATTGGAACCAAGATTGAAGCATCGTAGTACTGACGTCATCCTGACCGGGCATACATATGTCCCCTGCTGCTCTGCTTGCATGTGACATCACCTGTCTGGAAATTTTTAGAAGAGTTTTCAGAATCTGCTTCGCAGGAGCCCAACATCCCTCCAGAGGCCGAGGATCCTGCCTACGAGGGGCGAGCCGCTCGGACTGAGATGATGCCGCGGGGCCCGGGTGTCAGATTCTCACCGGTTGCAAGCCTCTCTTCCGGTTGTGAATCCGACGCTCGAAGCCTTCCACCGAAACCCAAACCTAAGTTGTCTGTCGTTGTGGCCATGTACGCGCAATGTCTGAAGAGCAACCAAGGCAAAGTTCTCCGTCTGGAGCTTGGGAATGCAGGTCCTTATGATACGGTAGATACGGTAGTCAGAGATCATCAAATCAAGCTGTCGGCGGGTTTAGCAGAAACTACAGGTCTGGTCTCACCGCGACGTCCCGTACGGCTGGGAGGCTCGCAGTGAAATGTCGGGATCTGCCGGTTATCCTCCGGAAATCTGCTAGCACAGTCTCTGTGCGATGGAAGGTGGCCTTCGAAAATGTTACAGACCCTGCTCATGTGGCGGTGGCGCACCACAACATTGTCTCCAACAGGCAAGCTTTCGCCATGCATAACTTTACAGTAGAGTAGAAGTTGGTTGTTTACAGGAAGATGGGGCCTTTCTATTGCCCTTGTACCAGGATGCTAATCAAACTTGCATGAGAAGTGCTGCACCGGTGCTGCACAGATGGGAGGTATGAAGATCCTTGCCCGTTGAAGATCGATTGGGTGCGCAAGTGGGATTCTCGGACATGTCTCGGGACTGGGGGGTTCGTTGATCGAAGAATCGATTATATTTTGAGGCTGCTTTGGATCGAGCAATGCGGACTTCCACACTTGTCGCTGCTTATGGATTACGATGTTCAGCTCCTGCATGTGGCCTCTAGCATCCACCCCGCTACATGCCCAATTTGTTCAATCAGCCGCGGTTAGCATCTCTGCAACCAGCCCCGCGCCCCCAATCATCGCCAAATAGCATTCTGACAAGCATGCCATGTGGAATGCAGAGGCCAAGCAACAAGGAAGGCTTCAAGCGCGATCCCCGGCAGTTGGTCAGTTTGTGTTCCGGTGGTTGATCAAAGGTTAAGAGAGCTCTGGCCTGGGCGAAGAGAAGCCGAAGCCTCCTTGCCTGGTCAGGTACACCATCGAGCAAGTTGGCAAGAACATTGCTGGAGCCTGAAGTCTCTGCAGAGGGCATCGCTTTATGCAAGCCAGCATTTCCGAATGAAATGCCAAGCAAGGCCTGCAGTCAGAACCAAGGTGTCTACCATGGACTTCAAGCCCCCCAGCCAGATGCACATCAGGAGTTCAAGGAGACTTACATGACAACTCTTCCGGCGGTGCTTTTAGCCAGGACATCCTACGACGACAAAAGCGGTGCCTCCTTGACCTTGGTCATCAACTTCGTCCCGACCAAGTCGCCAGTCTGCGAAAGACACAGTGCAAGTAAGCGCAAGTAGTCAGGCCATGATGTTTCTCTGGATGATGAGGCCTGGATGGTCCAGACTGGTCGGCACTACTCAGATAGTTACCGGCGAGAAGTACCTTGGCAAGCTTCATTGTTTGTAAGCAGTAAGCCAGCCGAAGTGTGCAGCAGTTAAAGCATCTGTCACCAGTCAGAGTCTGAATGTTCGGCTAAGTGGCGAGAAGCCGGATGGATTTGCCATATACAGTGCCCGTGACTCAGCATGCTGCATGCTTGTGTGAGACTGGGAGAACATTCGTTAGCTGCTCTTTACCTGCACGACGTCCCGTATCGGAACTACGGCAGCCTGGCAGAGCATGGAAAGCGAGCTGGCGTCGTTTGCGCTGCCATCCAATACGGATGAGGAATGCCGCAAGTAGTAGTACTAGTACCAGTGGTACTTGTTGCTAGTTACTCGCTACTAGTAGATGTAATATGAAGTTTCAGTACTAGTCCGGGCACCAGCAGCCACAGCGGCTGCAGCAGGAGGAGAGGGAGGAGAAGTAGTAAAGGTGGCAGTAGTAGTAGTAGTAGTAGTAGTAGTAGAAGTAGTCTTAGTAGTAGTAGCAGTAGTAGCAGGAGTAGCAGTCGTGTGGTGGTAGTGGTAGCAGTAGTAGTAGTCGTCGTCGTCGCAGTAGTAGTAGGAGTAGGAGTAGGAGTAGCCGTAGCAGTAGAAGTAGCAGTAGGTAGTAGCAGTAGCAGCAGGTAGTAGTAGCAGTAGTAGTAGTAGTAGTAGTAGTAGCAGCAGCAGTAGTAGTAGTAGTAGTAGTTGTAGTAGTAGTAGTAGTAGTAGTAGCAGTAGAAGTAGAAGTAGAAGTAGCAGGAGCAGCAGCAGTCTTTGTAGTCTTCGCCTTATTTTCCTCCTCTTCGTCGTAATCGCAGTTGCAGTAGTACGCCGCAGCCATGGTGGCGGCGGTGGTGGTGGTGGTGGAAGTAGCAACAGTGCAAGACGAGTGAGAGTAGTGAGTAGTTTCTGTCACCGCTGTCATGGTACAAAGCAGCGCTGCAAAGCCGAAGACACTTGCGACTCAGGCTCCGCTTCCCCGATGGGTCACTCACTTGCTGGGCCCACTCTTCCTGCATCAGGACCAGGCTGGGTCAACATACGCTTTGCAATGCGAGGCGTCTTAACGGCTACGGACAACTGTTGTTGTTTTCTGCTTGCGGCATGTTGGCACAGGTGAAGCGGTAAAAGAGATTGTTGCGTGTCCTTGGGGCATAAGTCGGCATCAGTTAGTCGATAGCTACGCGGCGACACTGTATGTGTGTGTATATATATACACACATACATACACGTCGTCTCACCTACAGAAGCTCGGGAGCTCTCTCCACACACAAGGTCCCTTGACTGGCAGAGATCGGCTGATGAACCCCAACTGAATGCTGACTCGGGCAACCGGCGAATCCTCTTGGCAAGGTCTTTCTGCATTATCAGCAGATCATCCTGGAGAAAGAGAGACGAAAGTGGAAGCCCCGGTGTCCCAACTCCGCACGCTTGAGATGTTTCTGAGACTATAGCTATAGCGGTTGTGCTGGGGTTAGGACCTATCAGGATGTTCCTGGTTAAGGAAAGAACGAGATGCTCAGCGTGCAGCTGGCAACTCGAACTTCATCGCCTTAGTTTGAACTTCCGCGCTTTCCCCACCAGTCAGCGCCATGAGAAACTCACCAATGGACTAACCAAGCCGCTTTTTGAGTCCAGCTTATGAACCAACGTGAAAAAATACAGCTCATATTGCCCTTGAACGTGTGCCCATACACGAACAAGCCTAGGTGATTCTAATCACCTTCCTAGTTCAGTTGTCGTGATGCTTGCTTGCTCGTTGCTGGTGCGGGAATCGAAACCCTTCCTGCAAATTGGTGGTTTCCGAAAATAGGGGACCCTAATATAGTAACGTAAATAGTATTGGATCCCTATTGGGAAGCTCCCAACTGTTTCGCCCTGCCGCAGCGTTGTCCGAAGACTCGGCCCACCCTTTTCCCGGCTGCAATGGCGGCCGCGGAGCTTCAGAAACAACCGGAGCTTCAGAAGCAGCTGCAGGATACCTGCTCATGGGAGAAGTGGAGAGATAGTGAATGGTAGCATTCGAAAGTAGCGAAGTCGTAATAGGTAGGTAGGTAGGTAG